TTTTATTTTGTAATATTAAATTAAAAATATTTCAATTATTCATTCAAGGAAATTTTTTCATCAATGCACAGTGATTCATAGAATAAATGTCTCTAATAAAGAACAAAAATTAATGATCTATGTTATTTGACTAAGTGCACAGTTTTTCTACATTGAATAGCAAAATTTTCTAAAAGTTAGACTTTTAAAATGAGCTTGTTTAAGTATAGTGAAGTCGAATAGTATATTCTCTCATTATCTTCTGTTCCTAGCAATGGAATTGATCGTATTATGTCATATCAGTGAGAAAATGTAAACCTGGCTGTGTTTTCTGACATAACCCCTGTTGCAAAAGTCTTTGCACAAAATATGTGCTCATTTTTCAGTTATATAAAAGCAACTGGTGAGAGTCAAAAGCAATTAGTAAGACTCAGAATTTTTCGCTCTTTTCGAATATGAGCTCAGAAATTTTGTGTCGATTTTTGTTCGAGAGTAACGAAGAAATCTTTGAAAGTCCTAAAAAACCGGTTTGGACAAAAATGTTATGTGTACATGCTCACTATTGGGATCTGAAACTAAATGTTGAAACTTTTGTTGATATATCTGCTTGTAGAGCAAAATTTACTCTACAAAACACACTATTTGACTTTCTTTTTGTCTGCCAAGAAAGCATCTAGATTTTCGTTTTTCTATATGACCCTCATTCTGAAAAAATCGACTTTTTGACGAAAGCGCGTTCTACATAGAAAGTAGTTTTTGAGAAAATGCTTATTATTTCAAACTATAGCATCACATTTTATAAAGAAATGTTCGCTCTACAAAATCACCGACTCCGACAATTTTTAGGGTCTTCGCAAAGAGACTTATGGGAGTTAGCAAAAACCCTGTTTGTTTGCCGCCCAAACCAATTTTGATGCCTTTCAGAGATTCCCTCACTCTTCTCGAAGAAAAACAGGCACACAATTTCTGAGTCCATATTCGGAAAGAGCATAAGATTCTGGTCATAACCACATAGTTTTTCACTCTTCTGAAATATTTTCTGGCAAGTCAAAAACGAGCAAACATTGCGTCCAGAAACTTCGACTCACCCGTTCCGTCCAAACTGTTTTTTTTAGGCCTTTCAAAGATTTCTTCGTTACTCTCGAACAAAAATCGACACAAAATTTCTGAGCTCATATTCGAAAAGAGCGAAAAATTCTGAGTCTTTACTAATTGCTTTTGACTCTCACCAGTTGCTTTTATATAACTGAAAAATGAGCACATATTTTTTGCAAAGACTTTTGCAACAGGGGTTATTAGTCTTGAGCCAGTAAGAATATCTAAAGTACAAAATGTATTAGAAGAAAAAGGTGGTATTTTTTCTTTCTACAATGTACAATATAGACTAACGGTGATTCTAACGACGTAACTTACTAATTTCTCCCTTTTAATAGAAAGAATTGCCTTTGATGTGTTTTTTTTTGCACCGAAAATTTTCTTTTTTTCATAGAATAATTAAATAAAAAATGTATTTGGAAAATTATGAGATGAAAACTGTTGATTTCGTATATTTGTATAATGTTGACATAAAGAGAAAAAATATGGTATGATAATTTATGAAGAGGTCTTGTCTCACTGAAATCTCAAGACCTAGATAAGATTTTATTTTAAAATGATTTTCTAATTTAAGTGAAAACTGTTTCGATAGTAATCATATTCATGGACTATTGAAAACTGAATATAATCTATTCTATTTTCATTGTACTAAAATCATTCTATTGATATTCAATAATGATGAAATCTGAAAAAAATAAAACGCATAATCTATCTTTCTTTTTAGATAAAATAATAAATAGAATGGAAACACTACCGAATGAAATTCTTCTTCATATCTTTTCTTATCTTGAATGGTTCGATCTATTAACGGGTTTTTGGTCGTTAAATGTGCGTTTCAATTCTCTTGTGTGTTCAGCTCTTTCAATAGGTGATAATTCATTAAATACTGGTCTTATTATTAAACAAGGTTTATCTTATAATAAACTTTCTTCATTATTATTTCCATTGATTTTAAATTCATCATCTCTTTCTTCTTCTATTCGACGTATTTATTTTGATGGAACAAATTCAATTGCTTGTGATCTCAGTTATGAATTGCTGTTTAATGATAAAAAAATTCTTCGGTTTCCTAATCTCAAATCACTTATTCTTACTCGATGTATATCAATTGAACCAATAGTTCAAAGTTTATCGTATCTTATGGAACATCAATTAGATGAACTTACATTAACATTTGATGACCAAGTGTTCATACGGAATTTTTACGTAGACGAACATTTATAGATGGCCTCCGACGTAGGCAGTCAAGCATTTATTTGATAGATTCTCTTAAGAATAAAACGAGATTTATCTATCTTGAAGAAGTCATCCTTGATTGAGTACATTTACATCTCATATAAACCCATTCACTGAAAAATTCAGCGTAAAAAAGTCGATTTCGAAATCATCTAGTTAAAATTTTAGCTTCCAAAGAGAAAATACTACATTCACCTCTTCTACTTTCATACCCAGTAGATGTCTGAGAACAAATCAACGACATGTTTAATAGTTATTAGAATCACTTAGGCACAATTGTGCAAAGAATCTATTCGTATGGAAGGCAAATCGTGACAACCTTAGGACTTCAGTTAACGAGAAAAAATCTTCGAACTTATAATTAGCGGCTTATATATTCTATAATCGATATTTTCTTATCTTCAGAATAAATATTTGTATTTAAGAATATGTTAAAATCTATTGGTATAATCGGATAACTAAGCAACTTTCCAAAGACGTTCTTTATGCTACAAATTAAAAATTGATTTCATTAGCTTGACAGAAAAAAACGATCCGGGATGATAAGGCACTTCTAAGTTGAATTGTCTCATTAAATAAGATCTATTGAGATAAGAAAAAAGAAATTAAACTGATTCGTATTCATAATACCTTATTGCTAAGTTATGTCTCAAGATGGGTGAGACTGGATCAGAACCGAGACAACGCGAAAAAAAGTTGAACAAATCAAAACTATAGATTGTAGTTATTTGATCTGTGCTTTTGGCCAAATGATAATATAAATCATACTGATTAAAACAAAAGTTGGAAGAATGGACCGAAAAAAAGTAACATTCGTTGAATGAATAGATGAAACAAAGAATATTTAAGAATTTTCTAGAGTTCATACGAATAGATTCTGAAAAAACAGATTTCTTCAGACTGGAACTGAGATCGGAGCCAGTAGCTGAAAACTAAAATCGTCAGGGTCGAATCCGAACATGGACTAGACCAGATTTATCATGACTATGACCGAGACTGTTGGAAAAGAAGTAACTGAGATTGAAACTAAAAGATTTGGCCTCGTACATCTTCAGTTATGACCATGCTACTGAATTTTCAGTGAGTAACAGAATCTATTAACGAATATTAAATGTCGGAATTTGAGTTTGAAAATTTACTCTTAAATCGATGTAATGTTCTTACAATGCATCAAAATTTTCAAACAAACCAACGGTTTCTTCTGTTGATAAGAAGTTCTTCAGAAATTTGCACTTTTTCAAATGTCTTATAAAGTATTGATTTTAAGGACTTCATGTCTAACATAGGAGTAACTCGTTTGAGCTGAAATAACTGACACATTAAGAGTACCATGAGAGCTATCTTCAAATGTTCAAGTCGAACTGTGATATCCATTGATCATCTCTGCCATTGAGCGACAATCTAACGAAATAGTCAGATAGTTCGAAAACAATGTGGGATGAACATGAATCAATCTAGATCTTTTGTTTTAGTGCGCTCTATCTGATGAAATAAGTCTCACGAGGGAGGTACCCGAAGTGATAAACCACTTTACAGTCCATATTTTAGGCACACAGAGAGAGATCCTAGACTAGAATTATCCCAAAAGTGTTTGGGCCCATAGACTTTTCTTTCGGAGTTATGACCATTTTAGTGGATTTTCGGTCTATGGCAATATATCTACAAAAATATTAAATGAGGAAATCTCGACTTGAAATTTTACCCATATGTAGACCTCATGAGTCTTACTATACGCTACAAGTTTCAGAGAAAATCAATGTTCCTTTCTCGAGATAATGAAGTTACAAGAAATACTCATATTTCATACAGTGCTCAAAAAAAATCCAGGTTTCTTCTTATCTCGAGAAAGGAACATTGATTTTCTCTGAAACTTTCAGCGTATAGTAAGACTCATGAGGTCTACATATAGGTAAAATTTTAAGTCGAGATTTCCTCATTTGATATTTTTGTAGATATATTGCCATAGACCGAAAATCCACTAAAATGGTCATAACTCCGAAAGAAAAGCCTATGGGCCCAAACATTTTTGGGATGATTCTAGTCTAGGATCTCTCTCCCTATGTGCCTAAAATATGGGCTGTAAAGCGGTTTATCACTTCGGGTATCTCCCTCGTGAGACTTATTTCATCAGATAGAGCGCACTAAAACAAAAGATCTAGATTGATTCATGTTCATCCCACATTGTTTTCGAACTATCTGACTATTTCGTTAGATTGTCGCTCAATGGCAGAGATGATCAATGGATATCACAGTTCGACTTGAACATTTGAAGATAGCTCTCATGGTACTCTTAATGTGTCAGTTNAATATATATTTTAAATAAAATATAAGATATAAAATATTTTTCTTACATAGTTGAAAAAATGTTATCAACATCACATGATAATTCCATATTTCGACGACGAATTGCTATACATGATTCTACTGAAGAAAATTTCATGAGTATTTGTTCAATAGAGTTTTTGTTTATAGTAAGGTGATGCACAAATCTCATCAAATACTTCACCATTAACACATAAGATTGGAAGATATCCGTGAGTTTTTTTAACTAGTTAAGTATTAACTAAGATAAATTTTGTTTAAAATTACTAGAAAAATTTAAAGAAACAATTCGAATAATAAGACGAATTAAATTTTTTTTTGCATCCATGACTCTCTGTATATTTTAGATCGATAAAAAAGATTTTTGAATGTCAAATAACGGCAAACCAATTGAACGTGTGAAGGAACGGGTGAATGAACACGACATTAGTCGGGGCATCATTGGATCAAATTCACTTGGTACCTGTGTGTTCTTTTTATTATCTTTTCAACTCAAACAAAAACCACAATGCTTTTTGTACCATCACGCGTTTGATTTTGATGAAAGTGAACTTAGTTTAACAAATCTCCTTGAAGAATTATTACATAAGATTTGGGAAAAACTTCGACAATGTCTAAACATACGAAAAACAAAGCGTAGACATACAACTAATTTTCCAATTAATGATGTGATTTTAGTTGTTGGTGGTGGTACTGTGGACGAAGCTATTCGAATTAAAATGGCCTTTTCGTTATTAAATTTGGGACCAAAACAAGAAATAATTAAATTATTTATGGATCCTGATGTTTACCATTTTTATCATCATCTCTTGTTTCGAACAATTATTATACAATCAATAACAAAAGATACAAAACCAGAAGAAGAAGACGAAGCAGGTTAATTTTAATTAATAAACAATTTTAAAATACACATCAATATTTAATTTGTTTCCAGGAACTGAAGAAGAAAAAGCAATGAAGGCTATTGATCGTGAACCAACATCAATTACTGATACAAAAAATCCACTTTCAGCTGAAAGTCATGATGAAATAAAAGATATGAGTGAAAATGATGATGAAATGATGGAAACAAATGATACGAATGAAGGTGAAACAACAGGTAAGTCATATGAAATAAATAATATAAATGAAGAATGAGATTCATGTTTTTTAATTGATGAAATAGAACTTTTGAAATATCCTTAGTTTAAAAAAAACAAAATTTTTCATTAATTTTTAGCTCCGATAACGGAATATATGGTTGATTATCCTTCGTTAGAATTGGAATATTGTTGTGTTACTGATGTATTAAACATGGATATCCTTTGGACGTCTCATAGTAAAAAATTTTATGTGGCAACAATGAAAATCAATTTGAAACCTGGTTTATCTTCAAAATATATATGGAAAAAAAATGAACAAGAAATAAATGAATTTTTAAATATAGCTACATTTGATGAACAAGGAAAATTCAATGAAATTTTGATCTTATTATCAAATAATCCATTGTATTGTTTGTGAGTACAAGTTCATTGTATCAATATTTATTTATTCTTTGTCTACTAGTCCACATATTGTATGGAATATTAAAATTGGTATTAATGGTTTCGGACGTATTGGTCGTCTTATTTTTCGATGTGCAATTCAACAACGTATTCCCCATGTCTTAAAAACCGGGCCAAAACCGGCGGTTTACCGCGATTTTACCGGTCCGGTTACCGGCTCCCATTACATAGAATTTACCGCGGTAAACCGGTGGTTTTAACGAATACCATGGTTTACCACTAATATAATTCAGTTAACCGGATCACCGATGATCTTTCAAAATTTATTGCTCCAGATCATCGATTGGACCATTTTAAGCATCTTTTTTAAACTGGTCGATATGATAGAAATTTTCAAAAACAATACCGGCGGTTTACCGCGGTTTTACCGATCAAGTTACCGGCTCCCATACAAAGGCTAATGCGGTAAACCGCGGTTTACCGCTAAANAGTTATCGTGTAAACGGCCGGCCGGCCGGACGGACGGACACACATACCGATTTTAGTAGTGTACTCACTTTTTGAGTACACAAAAAGACAATACAACAATATGAACCCATAAAATATATTAGAGTTTCAATTAAATATAGTTTTCTTTTTATTTATTGAACAAAAAACATATTTTCTTTTATCTGCGTTTCCTTTTTAAAAAAATTCATGTCTCATATTAGCTTCGAATGAACAATGGTCGAATCTAATGTGAACTTTCTTATGTATATTTTCAAAAAAAAAATATCTGAATATTCACAATAAATGTGTGAGAAAAGAAGCTATTCTTTTGTAACGCATTTCATTATTTACTCATTTCGACAGAGAAAACAAATATGTTGTGGTCGAGACTTTAGTTCTTATCATTTTCTTCTAATCATTTCACTTTTTTGACCAGAAAATTTTGGAAAATTCTATTTTTCGTTTTTAGAAAAACATACAATAGTTTTGAATATTTTAGAAAAGAATAAGTATATCTTTATGTATTTTTTTTAAATTTAAAATATACATCGAAGGTTGTTAAATAAACAAATTATACGAACATTTCTATAGAAAATTTCATAATTCAAATCATTTGGAGTCTTTTAAACATGATTATTCAATCTCCTCATAATTAATTCATAATGATAAAATAAGATTCGATATTTTTCATCAAGTTCATTTACAAAAGAGAAATGAATTTGCCTCAAAATTACAATCATTGTTTGAAATTTTAAAAAATTCGAAAACAAAACTCAAGTTTTCAAAGCATTCAATCTTAATTTTCAAATGTCAAGTCTATATTACGTAGTTATAGATCGTGGTTTCATGAAACATGACAAAACCTGAATAGAATTGATAAGAAAAAGAACATTAATTTCATTGAAGTTTAACTATGAATCATTATGAAAATATTTGTTTGACTAATAAAGGACAAAATAAAATTCATAATTAATAAAACAAAAATCAGAATAATATTTATCATAGAATATTAAGAGATTTTATTTTGATAATGTTCATTTATGTAAAATAAACTTACTAGTTGTCCAAGGAAAATCATCTGGTTGCCAAAGACGTAATGTTTGTAAATGAGGCATATATGTGCTAAGAAAAGGCACAAGATGTTTACCAATATGAATTGATTCGTCGGAGCCGGTAGAAGAACTTGGAAGACAAAACTCAGCATATTGAACTGTACTTAATGCTTCCGTTCTTAGGTCGTCAGATGCCTAAATAAAAAACAACAAAAAAAGGCAATAAAACATACTAATCTATTAGAATTAATTTGTCAAATTAAAGTAAATGTTTTAAAATAATACAAGAAAAGAGTTTAACAATAATTCATTCATAGAACAATCATTAAATTTTTTTTTGTACTGCCTTACCAACAATTTTTGATAATGACAGACATAGAGAGATAAAGTACAAGAGATAAAAATGAAATCATCGCATCAGAAATATAGTCAAACCACAATTACAAGTTCTAAGCTTGAAAAAAATGGAACAACTTGTAATACAAAAATTAGATGCCTTTTCGATAGGCTGTGTAATTAGTATAAACTTATGACAAAAGATAGATTTATCATTATATTCAATTAAAGTTATTTCTTCATTGTCTATGTTCATTTTTCCAAATCTTATTCTGCATATCAATAAAGAACAGAATTAATTTGCTTCAATATTAAATGTGTTTATTAATAGATGCAATCGATTTCAATTGAATTTTTGACTTATCAGTATGATCATTTGTTTAATTCTCAAATAAACTAAATTAATTCAGTTACAATATTGCTATTGTACATTAGATGAAAATAGATTTTATTTTATTCTATGCTATAACAAAAAGAATAATATAGTTTTCTTCTAAAAATGAGATCACTTTATTTCAATGATATACCTATTCAGATTAGAAAAATAAAAACATATTGAACTTTACAAGCTCAAGTGAAATCATACAGAAAATACGTCAATCCTACACAAACTCACTGTGGAAATGTGAGAAATTATAACAACCTTATAATGAACTCGAAAGAAAATAAAACTTTTTCGTACAATTTAAACTACTCTTACAGGATTTATGATCATCAAATGATTTACCTGGGATATACCCAGTGAAAAATTTTCGTTGACTTGAATCGAATTTTTCATTAGGTATTCACATGAATTATGCATAATAGAAATATATTCAAGAATTTAAAACAAGATCATAAATAAAGCATATTCTTACGTATTGAACAACATGCAAAAGCCAATCGAAGCGTTCAACTAGAAGATATTTGAGTTGTACAGTCATCGAAATGAGATGTGCAAGTACTTTTTCACGTATCTGATTTCGATTTGGTAATATTTCGGTATCAGCTAGAAAAAAAAATCATAATTTACATAATTTCCATAAGAATAAATGTCAAACAATGAAATAAACATATTTTAATCGATACTTTTTTAATTAGAAACTAATTATCAAAAATTAACTGTTTACATGGTTTGTTTCAGAATATTCTCTATTAATAAAAGATTTAGTCTTCTACTGTGTGTTGTAGTGAACAAACTATTCACCCCAAGGAGGAAAAAGCGAGACTTCCGTACTCCCCCGAACCTCCATTGTACTCCCATCCTACTCCCCTGTACTCCCATTGCACTTCGGGAGTACGGGAGTCTCGCCTTTTCCCCCTTGATTCACACTCAAGATTAATAATAATTCATTTAATTTTTCTTATGTTGAAGCTTTCATCTTCTGCAGTGTTCATTATTTCACAAAGAATATAATTCTCTTGCTTAACATTTCAATAAAACCATAAAGTCATTATCGACATTCAACTATCGTTTACCGGCAAGACGATCTATTTATTTATTCTATGAGATTCATCTTCACTTTTTACTTATCATACTCACCTTCACACTGTATTGTGTGTGATTAAATCACAAGTATGTAAAGTAAGCTTTGTATGAAGTAGAAGTATCACGTTTATTTTAAACACTCGATTAATTCTACAGTGATTTATTATTGTAGTGTCCAATTGTTGCAACGGTCAATTGACGTCGCTCAATCGTCATGCGACTAATCGTCGCTTTCCATATCTCAAAAATCAACATTTTCTACTACTGTCTTCTATTGATGCTAAATCTCTTATCAGAATTTTTCATGTAAATCATTTTTTTTATGATCTAATTATACTCAACGAACAAGTATGGTCTTAAATGACAGATATGGATTTGAAAACTGCTGTTACAGAAGAAAATACGTATAAATAGAGCAGAACAAGATATAAATCATGATCTACAGAGTAATGACGGAACACATGTGTATCCAAGTAGATGATGACCTTTATCGGATGCAGAATCTATTTCAACTGTAAGCAAGTTTGAATACAGAGCTTTAATATTTATAGTTAAATTCGATAGAACTCAACTACTTTTTCTACGAATCTTTTTTCTATGACTACATAAATTCTTTTCAGCATTAATCATTGCAAAATCCATGTTAAAATACTCATTATAACTATGAATTATCAAATCTGTAATATAAAAAACTAAAAAGTTTATTTAATGACAATTATTGTAAGAAAAGTAGTTTTATATGAAAATTTCAAACTACAAAAAAGGTGCAGATACATTTTTTTGGTAATAAATGAAAAATAAATGTTGCTTGTTTGATTAGAATCTTATACGAAAAACAAAGAAAATGAGTACTAACCGTTCATCCGATCAAAATGTGTTCCAAATTGAATTTTTGTAACATTTCGAAAAGGCATATCAACCCCCTTGTATAGTTTCATTTTGCATAAAATTTTCAATGACATGAGAAGATCTGACTCGTCAAAACCCATCGTACGCGCTATAAAAAACCAAGGAATTTTATTTTATATGAGTATATTTTCTCTATTTAGTCCATTAGATTGATTATGTAAATATGTTGAACTCTGCCATCTATTTACTTCCTTTCTATGAAGACAATCATTAAAATGACATGTTATTTACTTTGGTGTACTTCAATACAAGAAATATTAGGAGATAATTCATTGAATCGTTCAAGAAATAAATGAAGTGATGGATATAAGTCAAACCAAATAAAACCGATACGTGGCCAATTGAAAATATATGAATAATTACTAAAAAATAAAAGAATATAATTGAAATAAAAAGTTGTCAGTTTTCATAAAGATAAAAATCTTACTAGAGACTATCAGAAAATTGAAGTGTATTTGTGAAACAAGAGAAAAGATGTTGACATTCAATTATTGGATCAAATAAACATTTAACATTGGTCCATTTATGATCAACAAAAAAAGAATGAATTTTAAATGAATTTATTATTCTTTTTATATCATTCGATGATAATTGACATTGGGAATAAATATAAAAATCAAAATTAATTAAATTAATTATTTTATCAGGTAGACAATATTGACGAATGAAATTTGCATCAATGACAGATTTCCATATATTTCGACATCTTGTTTCGATTAATTTATCACTTTTAAGATGAACTTGAAGTTTTTCAACATAATTTAAATTATTAAGAAGCCGTTTTAGATAAACAAACTCCTTATCTTCACAAATGAAAGTTTTTAAACTAAAATATCGTAGTTTTGGTATCTTAAAAGAATAACAATCCGATTGTTTTTATTAATCAAAATAAAAAAAAATTATTTTGAAAAACTCATAATAAATGATTCTTCTTACTTTATTAAACCAATTTTCATTTGATTGACTCGAAGTTTCAATATTTAATTCCCATAATGAATCAAAGTTCAATGAATATTCAAACTGAACTGACATTTCTTCGAGATTGGGTACATGTTCAATAAGATTTTCAAGAAAAAATGTATATTTAAGTCGAATAAATAAACGACGAAGAGTCATACAACAAGATTCACATTGATTCACAATAAAATTCGAAGAAAAATAAGAGTTTCCTACTAAACATTTATGAATATCACCACTTGTAAATTCATTGCTAATATCAAGTCGAAGAGATTTTAATCGACATCGTCCTGAGAATAGTTGACACAGAAGTTGTTTGATTATAATCATTTCTTTTTCTATAGTTTGTCAAAGAAAAATAAAAGTGAAATTTTTTATTATTAAACAATAAATATTCCAGTTTAACTGAGACTTTTCACTTTCTCAATTATACTTCGTTATAAAAAATGTTTAGAAGGAAATTTATTTTTAATCATAATTACTTCTTTTTAATTTCATATATAACAAATCAAAACTTACATTTACAAAATGTTTGTTTTTTGATTGATAAAACTATCGAATACTAGGAATATGTATAGGATAATTAATCAAATAAATTTTAATCTATTTCTATTAAATCAACTAAAGAAATATATCGTTTCATTTGCATTTACATGAATAAATCATTGAAACACGTTCAAAATAACTATAAGACAGAATTGAAAATGAAAAAAAATTATTTATAATTGCATACTAGTTGTTCATATCTAAGAGTCTTTTCATAGCGAACAAACAATGAATTCTTAAAAGTGTAGTTTTATTTTTCATTCTAATTTTCATATTATGTGAGCAAATATCGCGACATCATACACCAATTTTAAGCTGAGACTTGTCTCATCAGATAGAGCGAACTAAAACAAAAGATCTAGATTGATTTGTGTTCATCCTACTTTATTTTCGAACTATCTGACTATTTCGTTAGATCGTCGCTCAATGGCAGAGATGATCAACGCATATTACAGTTCGGCTTGAACACTTAAAGATAGCTCTAGAGTACTGCAACCCGCGGGTCGGGTACCCGACGCGGGTATCGGGTACGAAATTGACGGGTACGGGTAGGGTACGGGTACAGTTGGGCACGAGTAAGGTGGGGTACGGGTAGGGTACGGGTACGGGTAGGGTACGGGTACGGGTACGAAAAATTGTACCCATGCAGTACTCTAGATAGCTCTCATGGTACTCTTAATGTGTCAGTCATTTCAGCCCAAATGAGTTACTCCTATCTTGGACATGATGTCTTCAAAATCAATACTTTATAAGAGATTTGAAAAAGTGCAAATTTCTGAAGAACTTCTTATCATAGGAAGAAACCGTTTGGTTTGTTTGAAAATTTTGATGCATGGTAAGCAACATTACATCGATTTAAGAGTAAATTTTCAAACTCAAATTCCGACATTTAATATTCCTTGATACTTTGTGCTACTCACTGAAAATTCAGTAACACGGTCATAACTAAAGATGTATGAGACCAAATCTTTTAGTTGCAATCGCAGTTACTTCTTTTCCAACAGTCTCGGTCATAGTCATGATACATCTGGTCTGGTCCATGTTCGGATTCGACCCTGACGATTTTAGTTTTCAGCTACTGGATCCGATCTCAGTCCCAGTCTAAAGAAATCTGTTTGAGAATCTATTCGTATGAACTCTAGAAAATTCTCAAATATTCCTTCTTTCATCTATTCACTCAACGAATGTTACTTTTTTTTATCCATTC